ATGGCCGCGCGTCCCGCCTGCTGCTGCCGCAGCGCCGCCGCCTCGCCCTCCAGGTTGCGGTTGTGCGCCTCCAGCTGCCGCACCTTGTCGATGTAGCCGGCGAAGCGGTCGTTCAGCACCTGCAGCTGCTCCTTCTCGCTGCGCGCTGCCACCGCCACCACGCAGCCCTCCGGTCCGTTGCTCAGGGTGTCTAGCGAGTCGGTGCTCGAGGCGACTGCCGCGCTGCGGAAACGGCTCGGCGAGGCCGACACGGAGCTCACGGACGTCCGCGCCCACGAGTGGAAACCGCTCGACGAGCCGGCGGCCGAGCGGGCTCCGCCCGCGCCGCCCTTTCGGGCCAGCGCGTAGTGCAGGCTGCCACCTCCGTGCAGCGATGCAAACGGGGAGCCCAGCAGCGCATCGGCGCCGCTGAAGCTCATCATGGCTGGAGCAGGTCGGCTGCCGGTGGAGCAGGTGCCTGGGGCTGGGACGGCTGCCGGTGGAGCGGGTGCCAGGGGCTGGGACGGGGCGGGTGGCACTGCGGCAGCATCGGGACGCCCGGCCCTTTTATAGGAGCTGGGCCGAGTCCGGCCCCTCGGCAGTTGGGGGGGTGCGGGGGAGGAGGGCCCCGCCCGCCTCCTCCCTGCTGCCCCGGGGCTGGCCGGCTCCGCCGCAGTGAGAGGGGCGGGGCAGGGGACCCAGGAGTGAAGGGGAATCCAGGAGGAGTCCGAAGATCCCCCCCCCTCGGGGTCAGGTCAGGGGGTAGAGGACTCCCAGAGTGGACCCGCGGGGACCCCGGGTGCGAATCGGAAGACCCTGCTCCTGTTCCCTGGATAAGAGAAAGGGACCGAAGTGGGGAGAGGGCAAGGAGAGGCGACAGGAACAGCGGCAGCCTGCCTTAGGGATGGAGCGATGGAAGACTCGTTAGTCAGCAGGAAGAGGGGATTCCTGCATTATATGGGGATACAAGATTTTCCTAATAGTTAGAGAGGCCCTCAGGATAGGGGGTGCAGAGTGTCTGCAGCCGCCCCGGAATAGGGGAGGGAGCAAGATAATCCTGAATGGAGGCCTGGTGGACCCTACAGAGGCTAGAGAGAGCGGACCTCTGAATGGAGTTTCCCTGTTCCCCTGATAGCTAGAGGGGCCACCAGGAGAGGGCTCAGGGAGCTCTGCAGCCACTCCAGAATAGGGGAGGGGAATCTGGAGTTGAGGACGGCAGCAGGGCTACTCTTAACTGGGGGAGAGAGGGAAGCCCGGGTGAGGGGGCTCAGGAGTCTCAGCAGGATAGAAGGTGGGAGACCCTGCAGCTGGCCCCAGCAAGAAGGGCCCTCAGGGAAGGGGGAAGAGGGTCCCCTGCGTAGACAGGAGGAACCTGGGTGGAGTGTGAGGGTCAAAAAACCCAGAGTGGGGGTGCTGCTGGGGACTGGGCATGAAGTGGGGAAAGCTGGTGCCTGTATGGGGTGGGGGGAAGTGACTCGGGCCAGGCTCTTCCCACTGAGGTCAGCTCCACAATTTGCTGACCAAATGACCTTGTGTCTACACCACCCCCCCCTCCCACGCCACTCACCTCAGTTTTCTCATCTGTACATGGAAGGAGACTTGTCCTGGGACAGGTTGCAACTTAAGACCCCTAGCTCCCCAAGCAGCTTAATTGGGGGGGGGGGATCGCTCTCACTGAATTGGGGGAGGAGAACCCACATGCTGCCTCCCCATAGCTGCCTTCCGACAACTAGGAAGTCCGTCTTTCTAGCTCTCCCCTTACCGTTTCCTCAGCTTCAACTTGGCATCTCTTCTCCCACCCCCACAACAGATCAGTGGGTGCCCCGACAATAGGCATTCCCTCTCACCCTGGGAAGTGATGGGATGCTTTTAGGGTACCAAAGTACCTCACCCCCATAAGCTCTATTGGAGAGTCGGGTATAAAAAGGGGTCTTTGACCTTTGGTGTGTGTGTGGGGGGGGGAGTCCCTAGAACTGCTGGTGTTAACTTTTTCTTGTTTTTGGCTAATTTCAAATGCGTTGGGAGTCGGGGCAGCACTGCAGATGGTGCTTCAGCACCGGGGACAGGGCCTGCTCCGCGTTGGGGAGAAAGGGGTGAACCTCTGCCTTCATACTGGGGGGAGGGGAAGGAGGTACCCAGATCCCCCTCCCCTGACCCTTGTGTTATGCAGATGGGGAACTGAATCCTCTGGGTGGGTCAGGAAGGGAGCCAGGGACCCAACCCCTCACTTTCCTGTAGGGGTCCCATCCCCTGTTTTCTGTTAAGTTTTCCCACACACACATCTGGGCTGTTGTGCTCCTCCACTGGGAACTGAAAGGACCCCCAGGGGATGCCAGATGCTGGGAAGGGATCCCCTAGAGTCAGTGTAGACTCCACTCCTAGATCTGAGTCTCCCTTAGGCAGTTATTTCAACCCCCCACTACCTTTCCAATTTATACTGGTTTTCCTTCTGTGGGATCCCCAAGATGGGGAGAGACTGATCCCTCAGAAAAAAGCCCCCTGCCAGTTATTTTCTCTTTGCCTTCCACCTTATTCCCAGCCCCCTGGTTGTAAGCAGACCCTGAGCTATGGGGAAGTGACGGTGCTGTCCCTTTAACCACATTTTACTGGAAGGAGAGTGCGCTGGGGAGAAGGTAGGAGGGGGAAGGGAGTTTCTAGTTTCGCATAGAGAAGCAGAACATGATAAAGCATTTTCCCCCTATTTAAAGATCCAGGCATGCTCTAGTTTGCCGGGGGCAGAGGGGATGCTTTGCAGTTGGTGCTGGAAGGGTGGAGGTGAGTGTCTGTTCTGAGGCTTCTAGAATGGCATTTAGTGTGGGAGGGGGGCTTACGCAGGGCCCCCTTGCTTTCACATGGCTCCCCATTTACTTATCATTCTCTTGTAATTTTACCATTAGAGCCTTTTTCCACTGGGTCTTTTCAGTCATCTGCATAATACAGAGACATCCTCTGGGTGTGGGAAGGCTGACTGGCAGCTGACAGCAAGGGGGAGTGTTGGGAGGGGCCAGGTAAAAGAGGGGAGGGGGCCAAGATGGATTCTGTCAAGGCCAGGTGGCCACAGCCATGGGACAGCAGCTGCCTGTGGATTTCAGTGAAGAAGTCCCAAGCATGATGATGTGACTGGAAAAATAACATGAGGGTGGGAGCTCTCAGGTCACCCCCTCCAAAGGGCCCTTCAGACTCACCTCCAGGAAGCCATTTCTGGCCTCCTTTACTCCCACACTTAGTTAATTTTACTCCCTCCCTAGTCCCCACTGCTAATCCACCATATCACACTTATTCTGTGTTGTCATTAGGTGACTAAATTCCATCAGTTCTCCTGCCAAACTTGTGGTCTAGAGGGGAGTGAAAATGATTCTTCCCTGATTCCTTGGGCCTCGAATCACTTTCACCTTCCTCCCTTCACTTCTTACCCTTTGGAAGCGAGCAGAACAACATATTCATTCATATCCATCACATTTACTGAACACCTGCTATGTGATAGGCCCACAGTAAACACAGATTACAGAACCCTATAAACCTCTAAAGTTTTCTCCCTGTGACCAGGATTCTCAAGTCCCAGTCCACCATTTCCCAAGGCACCCACTTAAAGATGATGATAACTGTTCATCCAAAAAGGAGAGAAAAAGAGGGCGTTTCGTGGCTAAATAGGACTGTTGGAGCCTGGACTAGGCGATGAACATTGGGAATCTACCAGAGGGGAGTTGAGTGTGCCAAACTTGTTTGACCACAGGCTCTTCTTGCCTCCAAATGTATCCCATAGTGACCCACACAGAAGGACCCACTCAAAACTGGGCCTCGCCCCTGCAGTCCCTGAGCTGCCATCTGGGATCCTGCAGACCCCACGGTGAGTGCTCTTGGGCAGCGGGGCTGCAGTGTGAAGGATAAAGCAGCACCGCTCTGTGACCGGCCAAGCACTGCTGCTACATCATTTGTTCAGTGTCTATAGGACTAGGCCCTGTAGCGAGCACTGCAGTCTCTGAAGAATGAGGCCCTAGTGGGGGAGAATCCCTCCCATCTGTGCCCCCACCGCTCTCTCCTTGGTACCTCCCAAGCCTGGTTCACTAGTTGGTAAGAATCATTGTCCCTATTTTATTGATGAGTAAACTGAGGCCAGAGTGAGGATGTAAATTGCCTGAGTGGACCAGGTGGCTGCCCGGCAAGGGCTGGGGGCCAAACGTCTCCGATCACCCAGGTCTAAGCTGGTGTTGGACACACGGGGTGGAAACCCATTTCTCTGACTCAGTGGAGGCCTAGATGACCTAAGGGTGGGGAAATGAGAGTCCCCCAGAGAGGGAACAGGCAGCTGGCTGGGGTTGGGGTCTGGCCTCTGACGATTGCCCAGCAGAGAGTCCCTGCAACCTATGACCCAGTGTCAGCACATCCTTTATGTGGGGGCTCACTCCCCAGCCTGGTGTCCTGTACCACTGTGTGACTTCTCTAGGAAACAGCATGTGACCACTGTTTTGGAGTGCATTTGCTAAACTCATTCTTTTCTTGCTTTGTTTTTCTCAATAGAACTTTCCTTTTCTAACACGGGAAATTCTGTCTTATCTTGTCTCCCCCTATAGGATGTAAACTTCATAAGGGCAGGGATTTTTGTCTGTTTTGCCCAGTCCTCGGAACAATGGCTGGCATATAGCAAGTGCTTAAGAAGGACTGTGCAGCCCTGCTGGAGACGTTGAGGATCACGGGGACATTTCAGCACCAGGCGTCTGGACAGTTCCCTGCCTTTGGAGGGAGACCACCTAAGATAACTGCTAAACTTGAATTCGAACGTGTGGCCCCCAGCCCTTGCCGGGCAGCATCATCAGGATACACCAAGGTTGCAGGTTTGATCCCCAGTCAGGATCATCCGAGAATCAACCGATGAATGCATAAATAAGTGGAACAATAAATTGATGTTTCTCTCTCACTTCCTCTCTATCTAAAAATCACTAAATAAAAAAAGAAAAAGAAAATGTGCCCCCCCCCCCCAGGATCAGAGCCTCCCAGCCCCAGCTGTGTGGTTGCTGACCTTTGCTGGGGCTTAAGCCCTGCCCACTCCATTGCCTACAAACGCACCCCATGCTTAATATTACCTTTTCCTTTTTGAGTTCAGCAATTATTTTCTGTATCTATGAAACACTCAACATCTTTTTCTCGTCTCTCTTCTCCTTTAGTATTCATTATGTGCATATTCTCTGTCTCTCCCTCCTTTGCCCCTCCTTTCTCTACTTCTTTCCCTTTCCCCTCTCAGTTCCTTCTCCCCCATCACATCCCTCTTCTTTCTTTCCCCCCCAGTTTCTCTGTTGTCCTTTCCCCTTCCTGCCTTCCCTCTTTGTCCTGTCCCTCCTTAGAAGTATCCAATTTTTGCAGGACTTGAATCTGATTTATAGTAAAGGGGAGGCAGCCTCCCTCCCCCTACTCGGTTTATAAAGGAAACAGTAAAAACTGAACTACG